TTTTTTTTCTGAGGCATATTCAGAGAAATGGCCAAAGGAACTGTAATAGCCTTCTGGGACAGGAAGACTAAGGTTTCAGTAAAAAATGTTAAATTAATTTTTATAGTGATGCAAAGTCAGGGAAGGGTTGTTAAGGGATGGCCTCTTGCCACAGGGTGGAGTTTTGTTATGGTATCCTTTTAGAGTCTGCAGGTGTTTGGCAGGAGCTGGAATCAGGAACAGCTGTGATATTTCAGCTCCGATATTTCCCTCCCCATATTTCTCAGAAGTGATGCATCAGGATGATGTCTTACACCTGATGTACTCAACTTGTGTGGTATGACTGGAACTGTTGGGGGGGCATGGGGGAAGTGCCACTGCATGGTTTCCATTTTATTTTCAGCTGGCAACATTCATATAGTAAAACTCATCAACATGTATGGATTTAATAAGTAAAATACCAGATTACAGTTTAATAAACTGCCCATTTTTTTACTGAGTTGTTTTGGCGCTTCCTGTATTATGCCAGCCATTTAATGAAAGTAAGAAAAGAACACTCCATAAAAGAATGTTGAAAGAAATTACAGTGCAAAAAAGGTGAAGGCAATGTTCTAAAGAAGAAAAAAACCACTTTCAGTCACCTCACTTAACCAGCAAAGATCTTTGTTCTTGCATACTTAGCTGCAGTACAGTGTGTACCTGGTTTTGTTTTGTTTTATCTTTTGGGAGAATTTGAATAGTTTCTATTAAAAATGGTATTCTCTTTTAAGTTTGTTTTGTTTGGAAAGCTTCAAACCACATTGTATTTCATACACATATTCCCCAGGGTATGTAAAATGGGACCATACTGAGGTCACTCATAAGATTTTTAAATGTTTTAAGAATTCTTTTAATGTTTGTACTGTCTTGGCCTGGTTAAAAGAGCACATTTTTTTAAAATAGTTTTTAAGTTCACTATATAAATTTTCATAGTCTATACTGTTCTATCAGGCATTTGTAAGAACTTTAACACACATTGCTTTCTCCCTCACATTTTTAAGAAATTTGTTCCCTTAACTAGTCAATCTCGTTTTCCTCTCAGCCATTTTCTCCAAATATGTACAAGTACACGCATACATCTCTCCACAGACTGATTGACTTACCAGTACAAATGCCTGTGGTATTCATTTTAACTTCACAAATGAAGAAAATATTATAATCAGTGGGAAAAGTGGACATTTAACTCCATTCATGGAAAAACAGTATCACCTGGCACTCCAACTGAGTAAGAAATTTCCTGGGTTTTGGCAGCTCACTTGGAGTGCAACCGAAGCTGTTAATGATATTAGTGAAGCGTCTTGGGATCAAAAAATATGTTGTTTTATCTCAGTTTATAGAAGGAGTTATATAAAGAACTCCCAGCCTTCAGAGTTCTTTGGTCCTTTTAGTTAAAATAAAATTTGAAAGCACAACCAGCCTGTAGCCAATTGAGTTCCATTAGACTATTTCGATCATCTCCTGTAGCTGTCTTTCCCCCTGCTTCCTCACATGTGCTTCAAGCCATCCCTTGCATTGCTCCAGCTGCCTGCCCAGATTTCTGTCTTCATCTGGTCCAGCCTAGAGCATCCTTTACAGCACTGCTGACAGCTGAGCTGACATCCATGCAGTGCATCTTGTTCACTAACAGTGCAAGACTACACTTACAATGCAAGGTGTTTGCATTATGGATATAAAAATCCAAAGATGAAGGAGGAAAATAATGGCAATAAATGAAGTAAATAAAATGTTTATATGCAATCTTGATGGTAACACACAAAAAGGAAGATGTTAGCTAAGGCTGTGTGTTATCTATTAGAATTAGATAAGAGTTGAGCGAAATTGAGCTATCACTGGTTTTGATGGTTTTCTGGACTCTTCGCAATGGTTGAGAGCAAAGGGTGATGAAAAGCAGTTAACTGTGCTATGATCAAATGGTGTTACATAAAATTGAAGAGTTTAACATGTCATACAGTATCAGTGTGCATGGTTATCATATGCAAATTGACTGACATCTTCTTTGAACAGTAATTTCTGATCTAAACTGAGTCTGAAAAAACCACATTATAGAATGTCAGCACTAAGAATTATTACAAAGTTTTCATACTTGATGAAAATCTGGGTTCAGGTTTATACATAAGAAAATGGGTGGATTGATGAATAGGTGGATAAAGAATTGGTTGAATAGTCACATCCAGAGGGTATACATCAATGTCACAGTGAGACATGATATTGGTGACAAGTGGTGTCCCTCAGGCGCACTTACTGGGACCAGTGGTATTTAACATCTTCATCAATAACAAAGTGATCGAGTGCACTCTCAGCAAGTTTGCAGATGACACCAAGCTGAGTGGTGCAGTTACCACACCTGAAGGATGGGATGCCATCCAGAGGGACTCTCACATGCTTGAGAATTGTGCCCATGGGAACATCACAAGTTCAAAAAACCCAAGCCCAAAGTTCTACACCAGGGTCAAGGTAACCCTCAGGATCAATATGGGCTGGGGCATAGGAAGATTGAGAGCAGCCCTGCTGAGAACAAATACAGGGACCTGGTGGATGAGAGGTTGGACATGAGCCAGAAATGTTTGCTTGCATTCCAGAAAGTCAAACGTGCCCCAGGGTGCATCAAAGGAAGTGTGACCAGCCCATCAAGAGAGAGATCCTCCCCTTCTATTCTGCTTTCATAAGATCCCGCCTAGAGTATTGTTTCCAGCTCTGGGGTCCACAGTATAGGAAGGAGCAAGTTGGAGGAGTCCAGAGGAATGCAGTGGAGGTGATTGGAGGGCTGGATGGAGCACCTCCGCAATAAGGAAAGGCTGAGAGAACTAGGAATGTTCATCCTGGAAAAGAGAAGGCTCTGGAGATTCCCTGTTGTGGCCTTTCAGTACTTAAAAGGGGACTATAAGAATTTTTAGCAGGACCTGTTATGATAGGACAAGGGTTAATGACTCTTAAACTGAAAAAAAAGGTTAATTTAGATTAGTTATAATAAAGTTTTTTACGATGGTCAGAAAACACTGAAACAGCTTGCCCAAATAGATGGTAAATGCCCCATCACTGAAAATATCCAGGATCAGGTGGGATGGGGCTTCTGAGCTATCTAATCTTGTTGAAGATAGCCCCGCAGATTGCAGGGCTGTGGAGTACATGACCTTGCAAAGGTCCTTTCCAACTCAAAATATTTTATGATTCTACGAAAAATCTTGCTGTGATTAGAGTATGTTCTTGTTGGTGGGTGCTGGTTTTCTCCTATTACACCTAGGATTTCTTAGTGCAGAGGATACCCAGATTACAGTCTCTCAGGTGATCAATTTCTTCCCCAGTCAGACAGTCTGTCTTTTTTTTCCCCTGCTTCCTTTGAATTAAAACTAATCTGTGAGAAAATTTCATTTCTGAAAGATGCGTTAAGGTATAACATGCAGCTATGCACAAATATTTGCATTAAATTTCTAGTAGCATTGTCTTGTGCCATGTATTTCAAAGGGTGTAGAAAAGAAGGCTTTAAAACAATTTCATGAGGAAGAGATTAGCATGCCCCTTACAGAAAAATATTTCAAAAAACATGCCATATCTAACTTCAAAGCACCATGGTACCTGTATTGATAGACTAACTATGTCAAGTAATAACCTGACACATACTATAAACATATATATATATATATATATAATATTATATAGATGCAAATGTTATTTAGGTGAATTCTAACAAGAGCAAGGTAGCCAAGATAACCTCTTTCCAATTTGGGAGGTAATAGCCCATGACATATAATGTTTTAAAAACAGTCTCTTTCAGAGTAGACTCAGCTTCTTAAAATTCACAGCATCAAAAAAAGCATGGAATATTTTTCTAATGTTGTACCAAGTAGAGCCAAGTCTGAGTAAAATACTCTTGCTGTATGTTCTTCAAAGCCCAATCTTAATCCCTGTGAAAGTTATGAAGTGAAAAATTTGGCATGATACTACATAATTTTAAGGAGAAAGAGCATATTTATTTAATAAAAAAATATTCTTTCCCTGCAGTCACCTAACAAATATTATTTTATGCTTCTAAAATATAATAATATTTATAACAAACATTTATTATAAATATATATTTTTGTGACAGGGATTGCTTTGCTGCTCTTATTTTCTGAACACTGCAATCACAATTGCAACAAACACTTCTGACAGCAGACATGGACATGTACAAAATCAGAAGAAAATATCAAAACAGTCATTGATCAATCATTTTTTCTTGTGATTCTCTTTAGTAAAAATCATCTTACAGAAGATCCATCACACACTGGAACACCCATAAAATATTCAGTTGCAGTACTCAAGACAGCATAATTCAGTTTATCTTGGGCCCTTTAACACTTCCTAAGCCAGAGAGTCAAAAAGCAGGGAAGGCATCAGGAAATATAAAGATAATATAGCTCTCCAGATCCTAAAGTATAACAGTATTGATTATAATTAAGCGTAGGTGTAATCCAGTGCAATATTTCAAATAGATACAGAGATGAACTGGTTTTAGATACTGAAACCACCAGGCCAAGAAAAGGTTTCCTTCTTTATATGGATTTTGTACTTCATTTTTCTTTTTCCAGTCAGAATGTTGCCCATTTTTTTCAAACGGAATTGATTTTGGTAATCCATACTCCATACAAAAAAATCAGTTCTTTCAGAGCCCAAAAAAGTGCTTTTTCTGCATATTTATGTGATAAAATGCAACTATATACAATATTATGGTTTCTTTCTCTGTTTTATCACCCAGTTTTGAAACATAGACTCTTGATGTGAGACATGGAATACCTATGATTTAATTTGTTTTGACAACATCTGAGTTTCCAAGCACAAAATTCATTTAAACATCTGTATTTATTTCTTAATATGATCTACTACTAGCTGAAACTCAATCCATCATGAACCTCTCAATTCCAATGTTAAAGTAGACAAACTCAGGTGCGAGTGACATGTGTAAGATGTGTGTAATAATGAGCAGAAGAGATTTGGTGAGGACCAACCTGAGGATCTGAGAACACTTGCTGCATGTTGTTGATTGGGCCATATGGAACCCCACTCCCTTCAAAGAGCTGCAACCACTCGGTCGTTGCTTTTTCTGAAAACCTAAGAGCAAATAAGAATGAATGCGGTTTAAGCACTGCACTTTCAGATTCTAAGGAATGTATAGCATGTCTCCCTTCTCTTTCTGCTTCTATACTCCTCTCCATCGACTTCTTCCCAGTCAGTAAATAAAATAATAAAAATGTACTACCTATGTTCTTCAAAAATGCAAAACCCAAAGACATAGGGGAAAGAATATCTCTGAAAGAACTCCTGTTTCTATCTGATCATCTGAAGCAATGCGGGAATGATGTAAAGCCAAATTTATCATCAGTTTCAAATAAGGATCAGTGGGTTTCCTCCCTTCCTTAATTATACTAATGTGCTTCACATTTGTTTCCCATTATGTACATATTTAACAACAAAAAGATGTAGTGCAAGTACCATACAATACTGCTCATTAAAAGCTGATGTAAAGCACAATCAAAAACATACATCAGGATTAAAACCCACTTTTTTAGGTCTGATAACAAGACTGATCACATATTTATTTGTTGTATGGTTGTACAACCTATCCTAAGAACACCCAGTTCAGCATATACACACGGTACCTGTATGCTGGTGAACACATTGCTCCAGGTCTTTGTATCACGTGCAAAAAGCTTGTTTTATTGCTTTCTAAGCATTCTATTTCATAACTAGTAACATCACTCTATTTCCCCGGTTTTGCTAGATAGATTTTCTTTCCTCATCTGCCTAGAGAAGTTGCATAGAAAGTTTGAAGTGAAGTATGAAGAAAGCACACCGTTGAAATACCAGTCACTGAGAGATGGTATTTTCTGCAGTCATTTGGGATCCTGAATCAAAGGTGAACTTACTTGGAGATAGCATTTCAAGTTTCAAGATAGAGGTTTACCAGTTTATTAGAAAGCAAAGGTTGACCTCATGATAGAGGCAACACTGAAAAGAAATTAGATGTGATTTAAAGACTAAGGGAAACTGAATTAATAGAAACCTTTAAAAGGGACACTCAATTACTGGTATTCTATAGCTCTCAGTTTGCTCTTCCTTAAGAGTAATTTGGAACAATGTCAGTAACATTCAGCTTTATTCCCAGCACAAAATATGGATGGCCCTTTCTCAGAGTTAGTAGATTTATTCCTGAAATCAACAAGCAATTCTAGAAGAAATGGAAGGAGTAATAAAAAAAAATCAAAATAAAAGGCCTTAAAATTTCAAAATGTATTATAAAAGGAAGCATGACTCATGAAGAAACAAAGCATAATGCAGCATAGCTTCTAAATAAAAGAGATATAAGAATACTGCAATGTACTTCACTGAATAGTAAAGTAATTTCATGGTAAAGATGAAGTCAGCCATAAAGACAGTGCTGCTGTTAGACCTATCTAGGGTCTATCTAGTTTAGTACTCTCTTGTAGCCATACTTAGAACCAGGTACATTACGGGAAACTGGTAACGGAAAAAGGTAACTCTAGAGAGGCAGATAACTTTCCTTCCTCAGTGATTGCAGGTATTAACCATGATTTTAGTCTAAAATACAATCTGTATTTCCCTTCATTACTCTTCATTCAACAACAGTTCCCATTATCTATATATTCTTGTTATTTGCAGCCTTCTAGGTTTGGGGCTCAAACTACTGCACGATGTAAACAAGATTTGCAGGAAAAACAGTTTCCCTTCAGTTACAGATGCTGTTTATATAAAATTATGCTGTTCCCTGCTAGCAATGGAGATGCTTCATATTTCATAGCCCAATAAACCCTTTGTTATAAATGTAAAGCTTTTTTCATCTACTACTTTTTGACACTTCAAATTCTACTATCTCATTTTTAACAGGACAGGACAACTGAAGAGGAATCTTGGACTCAACTTCATAACCATGGTGCTGAAGACCATCACTAGGAAATTATTGTAATTCTCAATGTATGTATCCCATTCAATTGATCTGTTAGTAATTAATAAGTCCTGTTATGTTCCTGCACTTCTTTTTAAGAAAGAGTTTATAAATATACTCCTGAGTCTAACAAACCAAAACTTTTGCATTTAAAGGATAGCCTGAAAATGAAGTCTTCTCAACAGGAGTGTCTGTAATCTATATCTGCATAACCAGCAGGCTACTTTCTGATATTTTGGTAAACCTGAATAATTTTCAAGACATATTCTTCTTCAGTTACACCACTGTGAGTGACTTAATATATAGTGGAGTTGTACATGTTAAGCAAAATTTCTGTGATTGTATGTGAATTTCTACAATTTAAGGTTGCACTTAGGTTTTTCCTTCCTACGTAACAGGAAAAAAAAACAAACCTACAATTTTGTAGAAAACAAGAGATTGTCTATTATCTATTACCCTCAAGGGACACTCAGAGCATTTCTTCTTGAAATTGAAATTCTAACTCTGATGTAGAATAGCTTCCTTTATTTGTTTTAAAGAGAGGCTGTTGAAAACATATTGTTAAGCATACTGTTTAAAACCAAAACAGAACACCACCACTGCCAATAAAGGTCTAGTATTCAGATTTTGAGAGCAACAGCATGGAACTATTTTGCTCATTCAACTATGTTTTATATAATGAAACATCTGCTATACATCATTAAGGGAGAAATACTTTTTAAAATGTGAGAAAATATAAGCCATGGATTAAAAAATGTTAATTTTTACCTCTGATGTCAGCTGTACAAACTTGAATTTTTTTTTTAACCAACCTGTATGTATTATTCCCCTAACTAAATACAATTTGTGATAATACTTGCACAAATAAATACCATAACCATTACTTAAAGCGAAGGGCTGATGTCTAGATTGCTAAGTACCCATTAACAACATGCTCAGCACTCCCAAATAACAAGAGAAGACCCTCATCAAAAACTTCCAAGAAGAAGACGACTAATGTTCTCTCCCAAAAATGAAAGCCCAGCCAGCAGGAATTTAGAGGGTTTGGCCAATCCTTTTTCTCTTAACATATTTTAAAATGTCTTTCTATGCTTTTTCATTGTTTTTAATAATCCTACTTTGTATATTTTTCAGTTAAGAAAAAGAAATTGTTAACTTACACATACATAAATAAAATCACTGTGATGAAAACACATACAAGGTGAAACAAAGGTCCATCTTCCAAACCTGATCTAGTAGGGAAAAAAAGGAATCCAAGACTGTAGAGCATCTGAACTCTGAAACATGACACTTGCAAGAGGATCTTTACCTCAGAGATACTTAGTGGCTGCAGGAGAGCTCAACACTGCTCACATTACAACCTCATTTTTTTCAGAGGTGTCACTTTTCCTATAAAATGTTCCATCTGCCACACATATATATATAATCACAGAAATGCCCTCTAAATTACCTGTGATTTATTTATAGAGATGTTTTAAACCTGTAGCTTAGCTTTCTGCAATTACTACCAGTATTTTAGAAGTTCAAAAGGATTTGCTTTTTACTGTACTACTTTGTGGTATGAAGGTCAAATTCAGGCTCTTTCTGAAAGCACCTCTGAGAAAGGAAGGATATGTACCTCAATGAAGAAGAAATCTATTGCTAGGACGTTTGTTGCAAAGTCTGAACTGAGGCTTACTTCCTGAAGAGGTCAAAGTCTCCATGATGTCTTATTTGCATTTTAAGCAGTACTAAGCCTCCTCTGCACTCACGAAGATACTAAAGTTGCAGTATCAAAATGAGGCATCAAATTCCAGAACATTTAACATTAAATACGTTTCATGCTTTACAATATTTTAAGAATAGAAAGTGTGGCATAAGCTGAACTAATTGAAATTGGTAGAAATCCAACTAAATATATTTTTTCTTCAATTAGTAAATATAGCAGGCATCATTAAATGAAAACATCTAAATTTAAACTATACACTCAGCAAATTCATCAAAAAAATTACAGCACAATATAAGAAAAAACATCTAAAAGGCAAAAAATTAAATACAAAATAAAGTTTTACACATCGTTTTCTCACATAAACTACAAGTGTAGTTTTGCTTCTTGAAAAGCAGGATCTGCATTCCCTTTTGCTTTCTAACAAATTCTAATTTAAAAAAAACCCAGTAAGTAATGCATCTTTACATGTAAAACAGAAAAAGAACGTCTGCTTGCCTTGTGCGAGTTACACAAAATGGCTTTAATATGTTCATATATTTTAATAGCACTTAGGTGAGTTTCTAAGTTTCTCATCCTGATAATTATTAAAATAAAACGTGGGGTTTTTTTAGCAATATGTTGTCTTTCAATGAAAGACTTTAAAAAGTTTGAATGAATCCACTTTGAGTGTATTCCATTTTCTATGTTTCCTAGGAAATCTTCCATCTTTGCTACATCCTACGTGGAAGGGCAACCATGTTTCTCTAATGGATAAAAACATCCAATTCCACACAAAGTTTAGAAGAACTACTGAAGCAAAATACTGCTCTTTTCTATAGGAAACTTATGGCAATTAATGTAGAGAAGCAATTTGGACAGCTACCAAATACAGATGGAACAGCAACCTCTAGGATTAGTAAGAGCTTTCCACATGTGGTTAATCATAAAAAGCTCCTCTGTTCTTGCTAAAGTCCACAAGAGCATTCCTGTGTTTTCTAGAACAACCCAAATCTGCATAATAGTTTTTGTTTTATTTGTTCTATCAACAGTATCTTCATTCCCAAATATCTATGATATTTTTTCTCTTCACTACCAAACACCTCTTCATTGTAGTTAAATGAGTAAGAGAGCTGGTACAGTTTCTTACAGTAGCTTCTATGGAAGACAGTATAGAAAAAAAAAGCCCTAGAAAATATTTTCTTGGAAAATTCAAAGAACGGTTCACTGTACACCTTTAGTGTACAGTGAATACAGAATTAGTGTTTTCAAAGTGAATACTGCAGTATTTACTCAATAGTGTGTAAATATCTCTGTCTACTCTTCTGTTACTGGTGAATCACTGAGAGAACCACAATGGACAAAATATTAAAATAGTTGTGATCAACATGATTGTACAGGTTTTGCTAAGAGATATTTCAAATAATTAAAAGATGCCATATACAGTAGATTATAAGTAGTAGC